CCTCCCTCCCTCCCTTCCTTCCTTCCTTCCTTCCTTCCTTCCTTCCTTCCTTCCTTCCTTCGCTTCCACTTATGAGTGAGGACATGAATACATTTGAAACTAAATGCTTTCTCATTATCTCTTAATCTTGAGATTCCTGGGATTTTATTCCTGGGCTACTGCTCATTCTTCCCTACCATAACATTTTTGGAAATAAGATTCATGTTTTTGTTTTAACTGTCATCTATATACTAATCACTTACAAATCTAACTTTAAAAATCTGATCTTTCCTGAGTTTCATCAGTATAAGAGTATATTAAGTAAATTATTGCTCATGATTATTTAATTACCTGAAGAAATCTTACATAAATATGTACGGAAATGAATTCATCATTTCTTATTCAACTTTATTACGGTGCCAATAAAATGTGCCACTATCTACCCAGATATTAAAATAATTTTAAAAAGCCTGATTTGGATAAATTGTGGAAATAGGCCTATTCAACAACTAAATGTTGTGATTCTGCATTGATTTAACAATATTGATATGGCTATTACATATGGGGAACAGATAGATTTCTTTAACTAACAATCCTTTTTAAAGTTTTTTTTTNTATTACATATGGGGAACAGATAGATTTCTTTAACTAACAATCCTTTTTAAAGTTTTTTTTTAAATTTTTAAGTGTACATATTTATGGGGTACAGTGTTTTATTTTAATACATGCATGTATTGCACAAGATTCACATAAAGTCCTTATTTGTTTATAATAAACATATAATTTGAACGTCTTCCTAGAATATTTTAATCTGGGCCGACGCCGTGGCTCACTCGGGAGAGTGTGGCGCTGGGAGCGCAGTGGCGCTCTTGCCACAGGTTCGGATCATATATAGGGGTGGCCGGTGCGCTCGCTGGCTGAGCACGGTGTGGGCGACACGGAGCCAAGGGTTACGATCCCCTTACCAGTCACAAAAAAGACAAAATAAATAAATAAATAACTGCTGTATTTGGATTTTCGTTAATACTGTGTTTCACCATTATCAACTCCAATTATAATATATACTTCCTTCAGTGTGCCTACAGATATTTCAGGGATTGAGTAAACAGTATGAGCCTACATAATTCTTGCTCTGCTAATTCTTTCTATTATTTGTGTTAGACATTTAAAATTATTTTGCTTTATTGTGTTGTCTGTTATCCATCCCTTGGTTGCTTCCAACCCACATGTATCTACATCTAATTTTCCTTCATAATCGGATATAAATGAGGAAGCCAAAAAGTGAAAGTTTTATGTAGTACATATAAAGAAATAGCTGCTGCATTCAGTATAAGGGCTGCTGTAAAAAATTTCATGCATTTTATTTTCAAGGCATCTTTCATTTGCAGTTGAGCAACTAGTTGTGTTTGAGCCTGACAAGATTTTTTTAAAAACATAAATTGATAGATAAGAGAATTTTGCATGAAATTCTTTCCATTTTCGTGATTAAAAAAATTGTTGGCAACTACAGATAGATTCTTCCATATGATCCAGCAATCCCACTTCTGATTATATACCCAGAGGAATGGAAATCATCATGTCGAAGGGATACTTGCACTCCCATGTTCATTNTAAATGTCCATCGATGGATGATTGGATAAGGAAACTGTGGTATATACACACCATGGAATACAACTCTGCCATAAAAAAGAATGAAATTCTCCCATTTCACTCATAAATGGGAGCTAAGAGAGAAAGAAGGAAGGAAAGAAAGACCACAGTGGTGTATTGGACTTGCAGAGGGAGAGATCATACCTTGGGATACAAAGTGGAGTGAACGGAAGGGTGACGGGAAGGGAGGTTGGGGATAATTGGGTGGGAGACATTGGGTACATATGCAATTTGTGGTAATGGGTATGCATGGATCTGGCCTTCACATCTTGGGCATGAGGGTTGGCAATCAGCTTTGTGTCTCATGAATATTCATAACCAGTAAATAAATGAAATGAAATCAAATAAAATTGTTCGCAACTCTGGCCAAAACACTAGCAGTTTCAGAACTGAATAAC